CATTGTAAGGAATCCACTCTAAAATATGTCGTGGAATAGAAATATTTAATCGACATCGTTGTATAAAATTATCAATAATCTTATTTCCTGATGACCATTTATTGAATTTCCTAAACAATTTTCACAATATTTTGAATATTTGATTAAATTACATTCTGAGCATTTTATTTCCATGCCAATTCGATAGAGTGCACATTAGTTTCAAATATATATTTATGATTTTTCTGAATAAGATTTTTTTCTTCAGCACATTTACAGATAGTACTTTTAAAAAATTCTCTAATACTGCAGAGGGTGTGATTTCTTTAGATTTCTTATTTGCAAAGATTAAATATTTTTCAAATACCATCATAAATTGCTCATGTTTAATTTGAATCTATTGATTTAAAATATTTTCTTTGTCCTCCTGTAGATTGTATAATATTCCAAAAATTGATAACTATGTTTTATAAAAATTCAAATCCGATAGTATTGCAAATTTATAATATATCATTGCATTTGTGATTCCTAACATACATTGATGATCAAAATAGGTTTTAAATCCATTTCGAAAAAGATCTTTTTCAGTGTTAGAAAATTGAATCTTTTTAAAAAACAGTTCAATTATATTGTTATTATAAATGTCATGATCTGATGGTATATCTTTTACAATTGCTGTTATTGTTTCATTAGATTGTTTCAAACTATTATTAAATACTAATTTAATGATATTTTTGTCTTCTTTAGAGAATTGTTTAGTTCAAATAAAATTTTAAATAAATTATATTTATAGTTTTCAAGATCTGATGACAATTTCATTGCGGAGACCATAATATCAATCACTTTCTCGTAATAAATTTCATCATCTTTAGTAAATTGTTTATTCTCACCTAATAATTTAATTACATTATTTTTAAAACTTCATTCCTGGTGTTCTTTGGCACTTTATCTTAACTAGAAAAAAAGATATTGTGTATATTAAATCTCGGAAATAAACGAGTTACTGCATATAGTTTGATAATAAATAGTTCAGATGGGAAGGATCTTCATAATTAATTTTCATCATAGAAAAAAATAATTAGTAATAAGTGTATGCTGTATGTTGTACGTATATTAATTATTTTAATTCTCTAATACGTACCTAACAGAATTTACTAATTTCCCAAACTACTTATGATTGGTCTACTAATTATTCACATATCGGAGTATCTGTGCTACATATTAACCAATTTTATAATACTCCAATAGTGAAGTGGTGGGAAAATTAGTAATATAGAAACGAACCATAAAGATCAGTTACGTTTTAATGCTCAAGATATAGGTTAGGCATGTCCAATGTTGAATTAAAATTTCAAACACCAATACGTAACTGATTTTTAGGGTGATAGTAGGACGGTTCTAACATAGATACCCATCTTAATCCAATAAAACTTCGTATTTAAATTCTGATATCGATATGACGCAAATTTTAATATGGTACGTACATACATAATACACAAAATATTCGATCGAGTTTCACAAATAAAATAAAAAAAATTAAAAATGAAACAAAATAACTTTGGTTAAGAATCTCTAAAAATGGTTTACGATGAATCTAAACTTCAACAGACCTTGAAAAATTATGAAAACGTTACAATCGGTCTTTTAGCTGAGAATAATCGATTTTCTGAAGCAACAAGAAATATTTTTAAGGTACATATTAAAGATAGTGTCAAGCAGTTAAAAGAAATACTGACAATTGTTGGGCAATTAGAAGCTGGGGAAGTGCACACTAAAACAAATATAAATGAAATAAGAGGTGCCACATTATCTATGTTGTCTGACCCTGAAAATTATTATAATAATACAATTCGATTGTTATCTGAAAATAGACAACATTCTAAAGAAGCAAAAGATCGTTTAAAAGAATTTCTAAGTGAGAATGCGAAAGTAAAATGCTTCATGAATGAAATATTTGTTCACGAACTGGCCATTTCAACAGATCCTGAAAGTTTAAAAAATAATGTAATTAAATTATTAGGTGAGAATAGAAAGTGAATGCTTAAGTGCATGTTTTGTTTGTCTAATGATATTGCTAAGTTTCTTAAGATTAGAGTGTAAGTAGGTGGCTTTGGAAGAGAATGTGTGTTGAAAATTTTGGACTGTAAATTTTTTGTTGGGAATGTGTTGTAAAGCTGCTGTAATAGTACTAGTGTGAATTTTGTGCCAGGTAGTC